GTGTGATGGGGCCTGCGCAGAGTGAGCGCGCAGGAGCTATTGTGTTGCGTGCGATCGAGGCCTCGAAAATTCTCGAGGCGCGTGGAGAGGTGTCGCATAAGTTGGTGGTCTTGGACACTGAGCCACGTTTTTGGCATCCGAGGAACCTCGCCGTGGCTTGTATGATGTGCGGGGCTTATTCCTCCAAGCACTTGAAGTCTCTTTCCTCCCCTTGCAGAAAGCCTGGGGGGCATGGGGTAAAGGCCCTCAAGAGACTCAAAGCTGGTTTCCTCCCAGAGGGAAGAAACAACGTCTCGGCTGTCATTACAGAATGTCCGCCTGTGGCCTAGATGTGGAGCGGTCAGACGAGCGCCCCGATGCACCGGGAAGAAGAGGACGAGGAGGGGGAGGAGGGGGCATGAGGAGGAGAAGGAGGAGGAAGAGGAGGACTGGATGGCCATGTCGCGCTCTCCCTGGCGCCCGCGTCCCCAGGAGGTGCCCAAGGTGATCCCCAGGGAGCGGACGCCGCTGCCGTCAGAAGCAGGCGGGGGGTTGGGTGCGCGGGTGGCCTCGGGGCGCGGGGGGGGCCTCGGGGAGGGACTCGCTCCTCCTCCTTCTTCTCGTCCTTTTCCCCGCTCCTCCTTTTCCCTTCGCCTCTGCCTCCACCTCCTCTGACCCCGCAAGAAGCCACCGCATCCAGATGTTCGGTGTTTCCCAACCATCCTGTGGTGTTGAGTCTTCGTCACAGCGCCCCGTGTTCTCCTCCAGCTACCCTTCCTACCTCCCATGCTTGCCTCTGCCCTCCGCGCAGCCAACCATTCGGCACACGCACACACACACACACACCTCGCCCGTTTCGTGGCCCCATCACATTGGGAGCCCCACCCAAGGCCCCAGTGGCACCGTTCACATGCGTCCGCGCCGCCGATTCCGGCGCATCCCTCACACGTATCGTGGGCCCATAGGGAGTTTTACTCAAGGCTCCAGGGGCACCGTCCACATGCGTCCGCGCCACCCATGTCGGCATACCCGTCACACGTATCGTGGCCCCATCCAGAGCTCCACCCAAGGTTCCAACGGCACTGCCCACATGCGTCCGTGCCACCAATCAGTTGAACCGAAGGCCCGAATTGTACCGTTCACATGCGCTCGCGCCACCGATTTTGGCGCACCCCTCACACGTTTCGCAACGCTTCGTGGCCCCGTAGGCAGCTCCACCGAAGGCCCGAATGGCACCCTCCACATGCGTCCGCGCCACCCATGTCGGCACGCCCTCACACGCCTCGTGGCCCCATCGGGAGCTCCACCAACGGCCTGACTGGCACCGTCAACATGCGTCCGCGCTACCCATTTCGGCGCATCCCTCGCAATGTAAGTTGGCTCCGATGCATCGTCGAGTTTCATCAGGATCAGGTGCTCAGTACTGCAGGGCGCTGATCCGCTCCATCAGCTGGTGGATTATGGAGATAATCGGAGCCCCTGATCTGGCACGGGGCTTGTCCTCAGGCTTCTCTTGGTGAGATACAGTGGATGCCCATACCAAGAAGCCCCCTGCTTGCCTCCAGGGTGCCCTGCGTTTCTCGGGTTTCGAGGGTTTTGCGAGGGAGAGCGTGACGTTCCCACACCAAAAACCGATGGACGTCCTGGGGTCTCAGACTTTGGGTTTCTGGTGGCAGGTCTCTCGTGGTCGGGCCCCTCACTGCAGGCCTGCAGGTGTTGGATGCCAAGGCCGAGCCACAGTGGCCCTGTGCGCACGGCCACTCGGCGGTCTCGCAGCGCTTCTGCCTCGCGGCTCGTGATGCGGGCACGTGCCGGGCTGACGTCGGGCATGTCCACCTGCAGGAGGAATATCCCAACATAGTCGACAACTTAGAGTCTGGGGACGAAGTTTGGACTTTTTGGTTGGCTATTCATGCGCATCTTTTTGAGTACTTCTCTGGGGGGCACGCCCGAACTGACGCTGGGCTGACGCCGCCGCGCAGGGGTTCCCAGGTGTCTTGAATCTCGAGGCGGGCCGTTGTCGCGTCAGCCTGGGTGTGCCTTCCTCCTCCTCCTCCTCCTCCTCTTCCTCCTCCTCCTCCTCCTCCTCCTCCTCCTCCTCCTGCCGTCGGGGATCGGCCAGCCGAGGAAGCTGCGCCTGGGACCTCGGGCCCCGCGGCTGCCGGCAGCGCTGCCGGGCGCCGCGGCGCGGGTCGGGGCGCCGCGCCTGGCCAGCCCGCCGAGCCCCCGACCCTGCCAGCCTGCCGGGCCCCCCGCCCTCGCTATGATAAAACACACGTGTTCTTCGGGGGCGGAAAAGAGGGGGGTGATGACTAGGGGGGGGTGGATATCATGGCGTGGGCCATCATGTTTCCCCAGATTTCATGGCGCCTCTTCTTGTTTCAATACGTCCTCGGCCCACCCGCTGGGCCGCGCACATGCCGCCGGTCATGATTTGCACCCCCCCTCTTGGACACACCCCTCTTGGCCGCTCCCGAGTTCTGCTGCGCGCTCAAGATCGACGTTTTAGCTTCCATTTTTTGGGGTTCGGTTTCTGTTCCCGCTTTTGGATCCTCGTTCGCGCCGTTGTCGGTTCGGCTCCGTTCTGTATCGTGTTTTTTTGTTGTGTGTGTGTGTTGTTTTGAGCCGTGGGCTTCGTTTTGGTTTGTCGCTTGTTTCCGTTTTGGTAGGTCGAAAGCAGAGAAGTTGAACATTAACAAACACGCCCAGCGTTTTCGACATCAGCTCCAGTAAACCCGCATCGTCAGGATGAGCGACTTTTCCAGGGTACCCTCGCATCCTCACCTCCTTGGCCCATCCTTGGCTGCTTTCGCTGGCCGCGCCCCGCCCGCAAAATGTCGACATGGCCTTCAAAGGCCCTTGCATTCTTCTCTTGGGGAATCGTAAGACTCGAGTGCGCCAGGACTCGGGTTTGCCGACGCTTTTTGACGGATTTTCACAGTCCAGTCTTCGTGGGATGTCTGCAGCGGGAGCTCGCGTCACATTTCTCAGGTGGTGCCTCGTCATTCTTGTAATGGCCCCGTCAGGCCAGCCCGAATCCCCCGTACTGGGGGGACTAGTACCCGAGTCTGACGTCTCCCCGATGACCGTGCGTCCTCCTCGTACGAGCTGACTGGGCGCCCCCGCCCGAGAGGCGACGACCAGCTGGCGGAGGGCGACCTCGGCGACGACCTGCTGCCCGCGGAGGACGCCGACCTCGACGGCGAGGCGCCCGCCGAGTACGGCCTCGACGAGGAGCTGCCGCCGGAGGACCCCGCGTGCTTGTGCTCCGGGGGCCCTGAGGCGGGCCCGCAAGCCCCCTCGGGGCATGAAGGAGTCGCGACGGGAGGTCTTCCGCTGTTCTCGGCCTCTGGGGGCCCTTACTGGCCCTCGGGACCGCCAGGCGACGACTTGGGATGAAAATCGGGGGTCAGCCAGAACGCTGGATCTTGCAGGATCCTGCAGAGCCAGGATCGCATTGTCGGTGGCGACGACAGGAGCGAGTGGCCAAGGTCCGTGCGGGCATTACGCGTATTCGCCCAGGGGCCCGGCCGAAGGCATGGACCATCGGCGCCGCTGGATGCACGTATTGCTCTCCCCTGGGCTATTCGCACCGGTCGTCGTCCCCGACATTGACCTGGGTTAGAGCGACAAAAAGCCCGACTTACCCAAGGATTGCACTGCCCCGGGTCAGCAGATCCCGAGGGGTGTTGCGGCCACCACGGGGAAAGGTCGGGAGCAACGCTGTATGGGGTGGAACCGCAGTGCTTCTTGGAAACGTCAGGGCAGTTTGTGTGTTCCCGTTGTCGTCTTGCCGTGTTTTTGCCCGGTTCTGGCGCCGTGTTGTTGTCCGGTTCCTTCGCCGTGTTGTTTCCCAGATTTGGCTCTGGTTTCAATCTTGGAGTAGTTTTTTTTCTTCCGTCTGGCGAACCGTGTTTTCCGATGCCAAGATCAAGATTTATTCGGACACGATTTTCAAAGTGGCCCTGCCGTTTTCAAGAACCACCAAGGCCGGAATTGCTCTGGCATCGTCGGAGGATGCGATGTCCACACGGAATACGTCCTTTCGGAGTGCTCTGTCTCCGCCTGGGCTTACTCCCTCTGGACTTCGCCTCTCCTGCTGGGATGCCAAGTCCATGCGGAGTCAGTCCACTCGGAGTGCCCGGCCTCCCGTCTGGCCTTGCTCCGCCTGGACTCTTAGCCTCTCCCGACATCCTCGCGTCGCGAAGACACCACGACGGACGGCCCTTCGGGGCCTTCTGCTTCGGGCTCCAGGACCGTTAACAACACAACGGCTCGGGCCAAGACCCGTCCCCGGAAATCGGTCCCAGACCTCTGCGCAGCCACGTCGTGAAGAGGAGGCGGAGGAGGAGGAGGAGGAGGAGGAGGAGGAGGAGGAGGAGGAGGAGGAAGAAGGTACCCATACCGCTGCCCTTCCCTGGATCTTCCCTGTTTGGGCCTCCTGAGAGGCCCTCGTCGCTATTGCTGGATTGGCTTCAAAACTCTCTGGTCAGAGCGCACCCCCGGAGATGTCCAGGGATTAGCGGTATATCTGTACTTTTTGGTTTCCCCAGGGGGGGGACCACCGACCCCCCATCGCCCATTCTTCGCCGATCGGAGCCTGGGTGCCACAGCGGCCCAGGGGTCTTCGGTGCCCCTGGGGTGCCTCTTGGGTGCCTCTGGGGTGCCTCTTGGGGCATCCTGAAGGTCTTTTGGTAGCCTCTTGGGGGCCTCTTAAGGGGCCTCTTGGGGGCCTCTTGGGGATTCCCTCTTGGGGGCCTCTTGGGGGGCTCTTTGGGGCATCTTGGGGTCCTCTTGGGGACCTTCCGGGGTCCTCTTGGGGGCCTCTTGGGGGCCACTTGGGCTGATCTTGGGGCTCTTGTGGGGCGCCCCTGTGGGCTTCGGGGGCCATTTTGGGGCCATCTCGGAAGAGATCGATCCAAGCAAGGACTCAGGGGCAACGATAGGGGACGACACACATTAGGCGGGGACTCACGGACCCCCAATCGCCCATTGATCGCCGATAGGTGCCCGATAGCCGCAACCTGCCAGGAATGTGCCGATTCAGAATCGGGGGCGTATCGCCGATCTATCGGTGATATATCGCCGATTCCATGTCGATGCGGCCCACCCTATGCCAGTCCCCCCCGATCGTTGCTCCTCAGGGTAGCTCCCCCATTAGCCCCCCCTCCCCCCCCCAAGGATGCCAAAATGTTTTCCAAACCTACGTAAAGCTATTCGTTTTGGCTTCCTCGCCGAGGCCATCTTGGACGATCCAACCCCTCGCGAAACGCCCTCTCCAGGTCCAGGGGAAGGGGGGGACAACATGTTGTGGTCAGGAATGCTCACCAGCACCATTGGTAGCGCTAATCGAGCACACGGGCTGACGGCAGGGACCGTTGCCAGTTGCTGGTTGCTCGCCCTTCCCCCCTCCAATGGGGCCCACAGTGGGGGCCTGTACTCCCCTTCGAGGGCTGGAAAGTTTGACGGGGCCCCCAGCGGGTGTCGTCACCTTGTTGTCATCGTCGTTGCTGTGAATTGTCTTTTCGGGCATCCTGGGTCGCACTGGTGGTCACGGCTGGACCCGCCTCGAAGTGTTGCCGAGTTGACGGTCCCCGGCGTTGTTGACGATGCGTTCCCAATTGTCGGGGTCGTGGGCGTAATCAGCTGGTTGTTGCGAATGCGCGTTCAACTCTGTAGACACCTCCGGCAGATCAACGAATGTGGCCAGTGATGCTAGCGGGCAACTTGGAGTGCAGCCTGCCTCCGCACTCGCTGTGACGTAGTCGATCCATGAGCGGCGTGGGTTGTGTTTAGCAGGAGGAGGCATGATGGAGGTTGGAGAAGGCAGGGCCGATGGACAATGAGCTGCAGGCAGTTCGCATCGACAGACGTTCATCCACCTGCTAGGGCAGTGGTATAGCGCTAGTCATACTTCAGGCAGACGCACGAGGCAGCGGACGAGGGGTAGACAGAGGATTATGTCCAGGAGCGGACGCTGATGATGATGATCATATGACTATGAGTATGATTTATGCTGGTGACGATGGTGATGCGGATGATACTGATGATACTGATGAGGATGATGCTGCTGCTGCTGCTGATGATGATGATGATGATGATTGTGATATTGTTGATGACGATGTTGATGCTGATGATGACGACGGTGACGGTGGTGATGAGGCGGAGGAGGTGAGGGAGGAGGATCAGGGTGAGGTTGTTGATGCTGCTGATGATGATGATGAGGATGCCGCTGCTGATGGTGATGATGCTGCTGCTGATGATGATGGCTGTGATGAGGACGGTGATAAGGACGACGAATCTGCTGCTGCTGGTGGCGATTATGCTGGTGATGATGCTGATGATGCTGATGCTGATGCTGATACTGATGCTGATGATGATGCTGATGATGCTGATGATGCTGATGCTGATGATGCTGATGATGACGATGATGATGAGGAGATGGAAGATGCTGATGCTGCTGCTGCTGATGATGATGATGACCATGATGATGATGATGATGCTGATGATGATGCTGATGATGATGATGGTGCTGATTATGATGCTGATGATGATGATGCTGATGATGATGATGATGATAATGATGATGATGCGGACAATGCTGCTGATGCTGTGGTGGTGCTGATGCTGCTGATGATGCTGCCGCTGCTGCTGCTGCTGCTGAGGTGGAGGATGAGGAGGTGGATGAGGATGATGATGGGGAGGAGGAGGAGGCATGAGGATGAGGAGGAGGAGGAAGAGGAGGAGGAGGAGGAGCAGGAGTGCAGCAGAAAAACGGGGGACGGGGAGGATGAGGACCAACGACACAACGAGAGGATGCTGCTGATGATGATGACGATGATGCTGATGATGTTGATGTTGATGCTGATGATGCTGATGACAATGCTGATGCTGATGATGCTGCTGATGATGATGTTGATGCTGATGACGCTGCTGATGATGATGATGATGATGATGATGATGATGATGATGATGATGATGATGATGAGAAGGTGGAGGATGCTGATGCTGTTGATGACGATGATGCTCATGATGCTGATGCTGATGATGAGGAGGAGGAGGGGAACCAGAGTAAACCCAAGACCCATCGACGATGTCGCGATACACCCTCCCTCAAGGCTCCCTCGTATGTCCCTATAAGGGTTTGTTTTCACTTTGACAATCCTGAACTGTTCCACTTCAACACCACGAATCAGCGTGACGGTTGCGCCTGACAGTCCGACATCGTAGAGCCACCTTTTGAAAGTGATCCGCCTTCCATCCGCGAAACCTTTGCATCGTGTTATGACGAATCTGCGCGGCGCGAAGGCAAGAGCCACATTTTGAAAACGACCCGCCCTCCATCTTTGAGGCTCTTGCTTATACTGACGAGTGGTTTCAGCGCTAAGGCGAGACCCACATGTTGAACACCACCCGCCTTCAATCCGTAAAACGTCTGCATTTTGTGATGACAAATGTGCGCAGCGCTAGTGCGAGAGCCACGCTTTCAAAGCGACCCGCCATCAATCCGTGAAGCTGCTG